TAACAGGTTATTTTAAAATGGGTGTATGCCTTCATTATGCAAAGAGATTAGATGCCTTGTGTTGTTTCAGATTACAGTATTTTGTTTTTCAAGACAAGAACCTATCATGTTTTCATCTTGTATACACTGCTGAGGCCTCAAGAAAAGAAAGCCATAGCAGATTAGCTGCTATTCTTTTTAAAGGGCAGCCCATGTGAGATAAAAACAAATAAAAGATCAGGTAAAGTGGTTCAGCCTGTTCCCCACAGTTTAGCAATAATGCAGTCAGCTCAAGGAATCCTCTTCTTTCTTTCCATGAGTGGAAAAAAGAAAAGATACACTGAGCAAATATATCAGGCCCAAGAGTTCGTTCCAATTCTTGGTTAAGGGTGACACACTTATTGAGTCAGACACGCAGGAAATCAGTGTGGCCAAAATGAGACATGCCATGTTACAACCAGTTATGGAAAGAGGATATTCTGACTCACCAATCATTTAGCGACTGTTTTACATAGCAACCATTTGCGTTTATTACACTGCAACCAGTGTAATATGTTTGCAACCAGTTCTTATGTTTATGACCTTGGTAAATCTATAATGGAAAGCTCAAGTAAGATCATAAGCACAGCTACAGTTTCACTTAATGACTGCTTCACTTACCAACTGAGATGCTGGTTTCAAATGAGGACTACCTGTATGATGAGCTTCTCAATCCACTCTGGGAGGAAGCGAGCAAAGAGAGACACAAGAGGAAGAAAAAAGAAAATTGTTCAAGGATCTGGACAGATAATGTACAAATGGGCACTGCAAACACCTGCAGCATATACTCTACATATAAAAGACCCTATAAATGGCAATGTAAAAACTCACGTTTTGAGTGACAAGTCTCAGAAAAATGCTATATGGCAGAACAAATGTAGTGTAGTCAGGGCTTTTTTTCTCATAGAACGCCCAGAACGGAGTTCCGGCACCTTTTTTGGATGGAACCTTATCGGATAGGCAAGGCAGGTTGTATGACATGTGTGAGTTCCGGCACCTTTTTTTTTTTTTTTTTTTTAGAAAAAAAGCACTGAGTGTAGCGATTAAAATGTTAAACTAGTATCGAAGAAGACTAGGCTCAAATCACTTGGTAGCTTTAGGCCAGTCATTCTCTCTCAGCCCAAACTGTCCCACATGGTTGCTTTCAGGGTAAAATGAACTGAGGATCCCCATTTAAGCCACCTTGAGATCTTGGAAGAAAGGCAAGATAAAAAAATCTATCAAGTAAAGAATGAATGGAATAATAGAATAGAATAGAATAGAATAGAATAGAATAGAATAGAATAGAATAGAATAGAATAGAATAGAATAGAATAGAGTTGGAAGGGACCTTGGAGGTCTTCTAGTCCAACCCCCTGCTCAGGCAGGAAACCCTATACCATTTCAGACAAATAGTTTTCCAATCTCTACTTAAAAATTTCCAGTGTTGGAGCATTCACAACTTCTGGGAGCAAGTTGTTCCACTGATTAATTGTTCTGTCAGGAAATTTCTTCTTAGTCCTAGGTTGCTTCTCTCCTTAAATAATAATAATAATAATAATAATAATAATAATAATAATAATAATAATAATAATAATAATAATAATAATAATAATAATAATAATAATAATAATAATAAAGTTGGAAGGGACCTTGGAGGTCATCTAGTCCAACCCCCTGCTCAGGCAGGAAACCCTACACCATTTCGGACAAATGGCTGTCCAGTCTCTTCTTAAAAACTTCCAATGTTGGAGCATTCATCGCTTCTGGAGGCAGGTTGTTCCACTGGTTAATTGTTCTAACTGTCAGGAAATTTCTCCTTACTTCTAGGTTGCTTCTCTCCTTGATTAGTTTCCATCCATTGCTTCTTGTCCTGCCTTCAGGTGCTTTGGAAAATAGCTTGACTCCCTCTTCTTTGTGGCAGCCCCTGAGATATTGGAACACTGCTATCATGTCCCCCCTCATCTTTCTCTTCGTTAAACTAGACATACCCTATTCCAACAACCGGTTTTTTATGTTTTAGCCTCCAGTCCCCTAATCATCTTTGTTGCTCTTCTTTGTACTCTATTTTCTAGAGTCTCAACATCTTTTTTACATCGTGGTGACCAAAACTGGATGCAGTATTCTCCTTGGAACACTGCTCGTTGGAACACTGCTATCATGTCACTCGTAGTTCTTCTTTTAATTAAACTAGACATACCCAATTCCAGCAACCGTTTAATTAAAAATGTACCTAATTTCCATGTCTCAAGGGAATTAGGTTCTCCAATATGTCTCCTTCATTACAGACAACTCTGGGGAAATAAATTACTCTTAATGTACAAACAAAATAAATCAATGAATGGATTCACCAGTTCTGCCTAGGATGTGCAGCAAAGAAGCAGCCTTTAACAAGAAAGTTTCTGGTCTTCTTACCTTACTTGGAAAAAATATGGTATGATATAAAATGGAAATACAAAACCAGCTAACTGGTAGCTTGAGATGGATGGAAGATGGTGACAATTGGAGACAAGTCTTGCATGGTCCTTCAACTTCATTTGTTACCTTTTTCCCCCTTCATTGGGCTATAAATATTTGTTTTATGAAACTGGTCTTCGTAAATCCAATGGGTATTTCCTCCAAATCTAGTTGCTATTTCAGATAAGAGAAGAAAGAGTTAAACTATCCCTGTCATCATCACTCAATCAAATATTCTTGTATCTGAAATGCAAAATATAATTTATGGTTGTGTTTTGATGTAATTAAACTTTGAAATCCTATATCTAGTTTAATGCTTAAACTTCAGTGCAACCTATTTTTTTCATTGAAGGAATAGATTTTCAACAGGAATTTTAAGAAAGAGAGAACATGAAAATATTATGAGTTTTCAGTTTAGAAAAAACTTTGGCTGAGTTTTTATTTTGTTGTTGTTTAAACTTATTAGTTCTCCTCTTCCAAATATATCTTTAAGGTTTATTATTATTTCAATTTACTGTCAAGTTTCCTTAGGGCAGAAATACCAAAACAGAATATGGAACAATTAAACCTAATTGCTGGTTTTGAGCTAAAACAATTGCTAATCCAATGACAAGTTTCTGTTTGAAAAGGAAGACAGAAAATTTGGACTGAAGCACAATTCCTTAGGAAGTGCATTCCATAATTTGGGAGTGATGCAGGAAAATGCCCTTGATAATATAGTATTATTATAGTACAACAACAGGTTAGATGGTGATTATCTCCAGCTGAATTCCCAGTAGGGTTTCATCTTTAAAAAGTCTGCAAATCTCATTTCCTGAGTGATTTCTTAGGAACCATCTGCACTGATGGGAAGGTATCAGAAGTTTGAAAGAAACTGGACAGGTTGCAGAATTCAGTAACATAAGCGATCCCAGAAGCTCCAATAATTTATTGCTGGTGGATAAACAAGAGAAAAAAATGGAATGAAATATCCTAAGGAAAGGCACTGTTGGCTGAGCGATCAAAACACCCAACAGGCACCTTTTGCACTGCCATATTTTGTTGCAAGCCCCAGTTGTGCGCCCTTAAAGTACAGAGCAGGTATACAATTTTGCTCCTGAAGAAAGTACCCCTCCCTAGAGGTGCAATGGAACAGGAATGTACTTTATGATTATTGTCATTGAAGATACATCTTTGAGATCAAACTTATGATTGGCAACATTTAGCTGCAGGTTAACGTAAAATAGGGGAACAGGCCTCTTCTCCAGGCCATGGAGTAGAAGGTCTGTCCCCATCTGACCCTTCGGCCTCAGGGGTGTAAATTTTCCAATTTGTGGGACAACTCAAACCGGCTGTCCGAAAACAAATTTGCCTCAAAGTGAAGGATGAATATAGCACAATTGTTGCGAAATGTGCTCTGAACAGAGGCGTGCCATAAACACAGCCTTTAATCCAGGGATGTCCAATCTTGGCAACTTTAAGACTTGTGGACTTCAAGTCCCAGAATGCCCCATTCCCCATGAGGAATGGCTTCGCTGGGTAATTCTGGGACTTGAAGTCTTAAATTTTCCAAGGTTGGACACCCCTGCTTTAATCCAAGGCGCTGACTCTAATATTAAAACAAGACTACAGGTAGTCCTCGACATACAACCACATTTGAGCCCAAAATATCCGTTGCTAAATGAGACATTTGTTAAGTGAGATTTGCCCCCATTTTACCAACTTTCTTGCCACAATTGTTAAGCGAATCGCTGCAGTTGCTAAGTTGGTTACCCAGTTGTCAAGTGAACCTGGCTTCCCCTTTGCTTTTGCTTGTTAGAAGGTCACACAAGGTGATCACATGACACTGGGACCTTCATAAATACGAGTCAGTTGCCTAAGTGACTAGATTTTGATCATACGACCATGGGGGGTGCTGCAATGATTGTGAGGGTGAAAAAATGGTCATCGGTCACTTTTTTCAGTGCCGTTGTAACTTCGAACGGCCACTAAATGAACTGTTGTAAGTCGAAAACTACCTGTACTAAAGATGAGGCGATGGGGAGGGGGGGGAATGGCTACTACCTAAGACCTCCCTTTTGCCCTCTTCTCTGCTGCTGCTGTTGCTGCTGCTAGTAAGCGAGGCCAAGGCTGCCTTGCGAGGCGAGATCGTAACAGCCCGAATGAAAGAATAACAACGCCCCGCAGGTTCTTTTGAGTGTGCCCGCTTTCCGTAACCGCCCTCTCCCCGCCCGCAGCTGGTGCAACCCAGGGGCTGGGGTTTGCAAGCCAAATAATGCTGCTGCCGGAAAGCGGCCGTGGCGACCACTCGGGCTGCCTCCTACGGCGAGTCACCTGGCCGCCTCGCCGCTCGCTCCCGTCCCCCGCTCCACCTCTGACGGTCGCGGCCGGGGTGGATTACAACCCCAGCGGGACGAACATGGGAAGGTCGCCGAGTGTCGGGCGGCACGGCTGAAGGCTTAGCATTTCCCCGTCAAACACCCCCCCCGCGCGCCCACCCTCCCCTTCCCCTCTCCCTCCGCGGCTGCTGTTCCTTAATCCGAAAAGCCGCCTTCGCCCCCAAAGCCATGGACGATTGCGCTTTGCCCGACCTGCGGGACGTCGAGCTAAAGCTGGGGCGCAAAGTCCCCGAGAGCCTGGCGCGCTCCTTGCGCGGGGAGGAGCCCGCCGTCACCCGCGACAGGGAAAAGGACCGGGAGCAGCCCGGCGGAGGGCCTGGCATCGCCGGCTTCTCCGCTGCTCGGCCCCCCCGAGCCGCCATGGTCGATGGCGGCGGCGGCGGCGACGGCTCCAGCGCGCTGGAAAGACTGGAGACCAAACTTCACCTTCTCAGACAAGAAATGGTGAGTATTCTTCCCAGCCCTTGCCTTGCCATTAACAAGGCAAGCAGCGCCGGATCTGACCATTGTGCGCTACTCCTCCGTTTGGAGCGCTGCTCCTCGATTTGGCCGGGGTTTTTCTTAGGGGGGACCATCAAAGGCAGGGGCCGGGGAATGGCTTTGGCCCCTTCTCCAAGAGAAATTGAGAGCGAGAATAAACTTTGGAGGGAGGCCAAGGACGCCAGATGGGCCCAGAGATGATTAGGGCTATTTAAAGCAGGGCAGAATTGTGTGTTTGTGTCTGCGTGTGTGCCTGTGTTGTGATTTGAAATGCAGTGACGTAAAAAGTGTTTCTGAGCGTGGTACAAGTGCGGGGAAAAGAAAGGCAGAATTTTCGTCACTCCCTTGGGATCCTGGGATTAAGTATTAGGTGGGGAAATCTGAAGCTGAGACCCAGCTTTCAAAACAAGAATACTTTATTGAGATACTTTAGCAATGTGTTGTATGCCTCCTTCCTTCTTAACTCCTCTGAGAGTATGTTTTAGGTGAGTTTCCTTAGTTACCCTTTTTCCTCAATCACCTGTCCTCAAAACAGGTCCAGGTAAACTGATGGACTGAATTCAAAATGTGGGTAATGGTCATGTTGTTTCATATGGACCCAGAGCACATATTCTTTCTACTGCCATGTGTCCAGTCTTGCTTTAAAAGACTGGAAGGCGGGCTGTAACCCAACTGTGGGTGTGCTTGTGTGAGCAATTTCTCTTGCGTGTTACAAGTTACCAGAGTAAACGTCCAACTTGTAAGTATTTGAATTCTGTTTTCTCTCTGTAGCCAATAAAGTACTGAGCCCTCTGTAATTTTAAAAAGAAGTCACTCCTTTATTAATTAAATAACTTGAAAATAAGGAATACTTCCTAATGAAGTGTTTACAAATTTCTGATCTTACTTAGTCAGGAGTCACAAATACAGGAGGATTATTTTGATAAATTAAACATTTCCTAGCTGAAGGGCTGTCTACCACATGGATTCATCTTTGCTTAAAATTCAGTTGTTTCTCTCCTTAATGCACACCACTCCATTCCTTGGGATTCTTTCAAAGCTTTAACTTGTACCCTGAATTTTTTCTCAGGACCATGGCTAGTTCCTATAACATTTTTATGTCACTGTAAGGAAAGATGCCACTGGGCACATGCAGAGTATATGCAATTGACCCGCTGGAACCATGTACATCCTAGGGTTCTTGAACCCAAGAAATTTAACTATATCAATCAATCGTTGTACTTAGTGTATTGTTCATAATCTTAGACCCATAGTTCTATATATTGATTTAAATATTTCATGGTACATACAGTAAAGGGTATATATTTTTGTTAGGAAAAATAGAATTGCAATACATAATCTTAGAGCACCCATTACATGCACATCTTCTCCTTTTAACTCTATCCACAAAGCAAACAAACATGGAAAAACTGCCTCACGCTAGTAATTCATTTCACATAGTATTGTTTTGAAGCAAATTATATATTTTTTCAGAACTATTCAAGATGTACAGTCCCGCTTTTTTTCTATGAAATTCAAAACAGCCAACCACATAATAGGGCCATGCAGTCCCCATTTATAATATCAAAGTTTTAGATGGGGATTCCTTCTCAGTCTCCACTATCACCACGATGTAAAAAAGATGTTGAGACTCTAGAAAGAGTACAGAGAAGAGCAACAAAGATGATCAGGGGACTGGAGGCTAAAACATATAGGGAAAGGCTGCTGGAATTGGGTATGTCTAGTCTAATTGAAGAGAAGGACGAGGGGGGACATGATAGCAGTGTTCCAATATCTCAGGGGCTGCCACAAAGAAGAGGGAGTCAAGCTATTTTCCAAAGCACCTGAAGGCAGGACAAGAAGCAACGGATGGAAGCTAATCAAGGAGAGAAGCAACCTAGAACTAAGGAGAAACTTCCTGACAGTCAGAACAATTAACCAGTGGAACAACCTGCCTCCAGAAGCGGTGAATGCGCCAACACTGGAAGTTTTTAAGAAGAGACTGGACAGCCATTGTCCGAAATGGTATAGGGTTTCCTGCCTGAGCAGGGGGTTGGACTAGATGACCTCCAAGGTCCCTTCCAAATTTGTCATTATTATTATTATTATCAGGTTCAGCAAACTCTAAAAATTACAGACAGCAATAGCAGCATTCAAAAGAAAAGGAAAGTCTTGCTACAAAGACTGTTGGTAAATTAATTTAGAGCCTTGGCCTGTTCCGACTGCTCCTTCCTTAAATTAGTTGCTGACCATCATGCCCATCCCAACGGCACTCTCCTGATCTCCTTTGCCCTTTTTGCAAAGATGGAAAAAATGAAATTGAATGTGCTGAAACTTACCACCCTTGACCTATGGTTTAGATGCCAAGGAAGATAAATTAGTGACGTTCCGTGCATGTGGTTTAGCCAGGCCATCTCTCCTTGTTCAGATAATTCAAGGATTACTATGTTGGTAAATCTGTTTGTCCGTGTGCTGCTAAAAAGAGCATCTAAAGACTGCATCTGAGGCACCTGCTCTACTCTAAAGACACATTCAGCAACTGCTGTTCTTCGTCTTGAGATGCAATCATAGCTGTCAAGTGGCAGTACCAGGGAAGCAGTTGCCAAAGTAGCATTACATGGTTCCCAGACATATCCTTTTGAAGATACATTTCATATTTACAGAAGTTATACTGTATAATGTGAACGTGAGTAGAGTTTGAGCTGTTCCATTTTACTATCTTATAGCTGTTACTTAGGAAAGGACTAGGGTTCCTTTACACTACTGCCTTTTTTCACACAGATCCTGGATAGGTGGACATATATTCATCAGAGATATTTAATTTGGGAACTTGTAAGAAATACTAGGACTAAATTCACTTCAATGATCCCTCTATTTTTTAGATGACAGGGCTAGATTCTTTTGAAAATTCTGAGAGACCAGGACCACAATGTTGATTTGAGATTTCTGTCCTCAACTTTCTTCTCATTGTGTCCTATCTCCGTATTAGATTTTTTTTCTTCTTTTGTTTTTGTCTAACAAATCCAATAAATGGGAGTTTGTAGGGAAGTGCAATATCAGAAGTAAGTCTTAAAAGTATAGATAGTTAAACTTTCTTGAATGTGAAATATAGTAGAATGCTTGGTGCTCCCTAAGCTTGGTTGTTTGTTTGCAGAGGTTTCATTACCCAACTAGGTATCTATGGAGATTCTCAGTCATTCAGGTCATGGTTGTCCCAAAGGTGCTTTTTCAAGAGGCAACTGGACTTTCTTGTTTTTCTTTGAAGACGTTTCGCTTTTCATCCAGGAAGCTTTTTCAGCTCTGATTGGATGATGGGAAATGGAAGGATTTATATTCCTTGCAGTCCAGTCACTTCTACACTGGGAGGAAGAATAAAGGAAGAAGATATGAAAGACATAAAAAAGGAATATTTGAAAAAGAGACAATAATTGGTCTCATCCATGTGTTTCAGCCCCACCTTTGTTGACAAGCATCCTCCTACAGATTATCCCAAGGGAATACAGCATGAGGTTGTCCACCACATATTGTGGTGTTTTTTCAACATGACAGGATTTCCAGAACAACTAGAAGGTGTTTTGTAAACCTTTCTGGGATTCAATTTTTCTTACCACCATATTCTAGCTGTACAAGTAGCTTGTCCAATAATGAAGAGATGTTGGCAGATATCATCTCAGATGTCAAATTGAAACAGCTGGGAAAACAGGCCAAAAGAATTTTGGACGAAAGTTCACAAAGAATACAACTTTTGGTGAAAAGGCAATGAAAGGCCTTGCTGCTATTTTCATCGCCTTCTCTTTGTGAAAATAGATTTCCAGACCTCACTGCAATTAAATATTGAAAAACATTGAGACTCCTTTTGTTTATTTGTCAGATTATATAATCTGCCATCTCACCAAAGGTGACTCTTAGTGGTGAACCACCATCAGATAAAAACACAAAAAAATGAAAACATACAATATGAAAAACCATATTAATGCATATGATAATAATGACAGATAGAAACCACAAGAGAGGGAGGTTTAAAATGGCCACCTGAACAATGGAACCATCTGAACAAGTAGCAAATTGTAACTTCAGAGCTTTACAAATTATCAAAAAGGATGGAGCCAATCTGATTTTGAGGGGAAGAATGCTCCATAAAGCACATAACCCAGTCCCATGCCATGAAAGGCTTTAACATTTAAAACCAGCACCTTGAATTGGACCTGGAAGCAAACTGACAGCTACAGCAGTTTGTGAAGCAGAAATATAATATGTATACATAACTGTCTGCATTCTTTACCCACTAAAGCTTCTGGATATTCTTCAAGGGCAGCCCCATGTAGAGCTCATTGCAGTAGTTCAATATGGAGGTGACCAGGGTATGGGTGACTATAAATAGAGCTTGCTGATGCAGCAAAGAGCACAACCAGTGCACCAGATAAAGCTATGCAAAGGCCTTCCTAGCCATGGTTACTGCCTGCTTTGTGAAAAGGAGTTATGAGTCTAGGAAGACCCTCAGATTGTGCACTGGGTCAATCTGGGATAATGCAATCCCATCCAGCAACAAAGATGGCAAAGCCTGGAGCCGGTGGGCCCACAACCCAAGCTACTCACTTGCCAGGATTCAGCTGAAGCCTGTTATTTCCCATCTCTTCACAACTTCCAGATACTAGAGCAAGACATTCATGGCATCACTTAAATTGTTATGGGTGGAGATATATTATTATCATCAGCATACTGATGATACCTTGCCCCAGGGGTCCTCACACTTGGCCACTTTAAGACTTGTGGACTTCAACTCCCAGAATTCCCCAGCCAGCCATGCTGGCTGTGGAATTCTGGGAGTTGAAGTCCACAAGTCTTAAAGTGGCCAAGTTTGAAGACCTCTGCCTTACCCCATAGTGACAGATGACCTTACACAGGGCCTCATGTAGATGTTAAAGAGGAGAAGAGAAAGCACCAAATCCTGGAGCTGAAGATGGGATCTCTCTTCCTGATCAACA